TTCTCGACCGCTGTGTCATGCAAGGCTTCATTTATTATGTTATAGACTCATATTGCATTGAGACATGTGATGTTACAGTAACTAGCTAAGTTACTCAAACTACCTCTCTCCGCATTAACTCATTGCCACATAAACAAATCTGCTGAGTTGGACTCGATGTTACTATTGAAATTACTCCCACTGTGGCTAATCTCATAGAGCAGCTCCATTCCCTCATCCCGTTGACCCCCTTTCCGAAGCTCGTAAGTACACACGGTAACCTACTCTGTAGCGTGTTGCGGGTCAAGACGTGTGCGATGTCTAATTAACTGAACTGAGTTAGCTCAGTCAGTGTATTAAAATTTGTTGATCACATTATTAATGCAGAGTATGGACTTGGGTAACAAGTTGGGAAACCATTTTTATACCAAATATTGCAACTTGAGCCCGAGTATCAGAATTAATCAATGTTAGGCTCTCAACGTACCAACGGGCCCAATTATCGCGTGCGAAATGTGGGTGGAGCGTTCACCTTTTATAATTGTGAAAAAAATATAAGAAAAATTCACGACATGCAAGTAGCATACAAATCATACATTTTTTTAACCGATCTTGCCACACACTTTTAAATCTAGGTCCGAACCTCAACATGTTTTTATATAAAATAAAATGACAGATTCAGCTATGGATAGTGTACCCGATTTTGAAATGTCAAATAAATTCCTCCTCATACCATTCACAAATAGAAAAAAGAATCTGCTTTGTTTCTTGATCTATGAATCGAATTAGGACTCAGAAATTCTGTGGTACGGTAGATGCCTGATGTATCACTACTGTTAAAAGGTGTCGATATCACGACTTTGTAGTCAGTGAATTGGAGGCTTGTGCACCTAAAAAATATTATTTATTGGTGGTTTTCCTTTCAGAATGTCACTATTGATATTATTTTAATGTTCTTGTATAGAAGTAATAACAGGTTAAAAGAACCAATCAACATGTCAGGCAAGAAGCATTCCACCATGACCAAACAAACAAATAAGATTTAGCAAAACTGGACCACGCAACAAACAAAGGCAAAGGAATTTAATTAGCAAAACACGGTATATGAATGAAGAGGTCCATGGTAGTCCATGTAATAAGAGTATTTATCCATTTCCATTGTAGGTAGAAAATGACATGAGCATTTGAAGAGTGCATGCATTACCGTCGAGCATGTTGGTGTTCTTCTTCTTCTTCTTCTTCTTCTTCTTCTTCTTTGTTTGATGTGTGCGCAATCATGCATATGTAACCAGAGTGCCTTGTGAATTGTGATTGTTTTATTTAATTTGAATGGTCTAGATTGCCTAGTTCACGTTGTAGTCAATCGTTGTATAGGGCTATTCGGCGGCTTGACAACAGACCAGGATGGCGTAGTCAAATTCCGACCAGCCACTTTTGGCAACTTTTTCTATTTGGCGCTTTTGATTAAAAAACAGTTTTGACATTTCAGACAAATTTGTTATCGACTTCAAAAATTCTTGATCCAACTTTTAGAACTTGAAACTTTTGGGGTTTTTGAAAATATTTCTTTCAGAAATCAACATTCATAGTATGAACTTTTGGTACTTTCAACTTTAGGAATTTCAATTTTTCAAAATTTGGA